AACTAACAAAAATCTTTCAATATTGGGCCCATGCAAGCACGAGCCACCTCTACCTAGTATATATATATATAGTCCAAAATTTATTTACGTTATTTTTTAACAAATTGTTAAGGTATGACTTAAAAACCATTTAAATTTAGAAAGTTTAACAAAATAATTGAATACTTTCATATTGCATAGATATTCGTACAACTTTAATATCACGTCTTAAATAAAATGTTAATATTATAATATACCTCAGTATATACAATAAAACACCAATCATAAAAAATATCAAAATTATATCAACATTGTATCAACTAAACTATCAAAATTATATTCTAAGTATATGGTGAATATTTGTTTTATCTACTGAATTAAAATTGAAAAAAATATATTCATATTTTTCATTGAACAAACTTTCAAAATGGTAGAGGTATAGAATTTAATTGTGATTAGATTTATGAAAGAGAAGAGTTTGATTTTAATTAGAACTACGAGAGAGAAGCAATAACTGATTTGTAAGGAATTATTAAAAATCTTGGGCTGTAATGCTCCATTTATTTTCTCATTTTCTTAATTATTTGTTTAGATTTTTTACAAAAATAATCTCATTGTTTTGAAAAAAAAACTATTGTTATGTTGGTGAAACAAAAATTACTGTTTTATAGCTGTCATTTAGATGCTTATTTTGTATTGTTAAATTTTTTTCCTTTAAATAAATAAATGTTAGTAAAATGAAATGTTTATTGTTTTATATTTACAAAAATTGTATTTTAGAATCACAAATTCTTTTTTAAGAAAAAATTAACAAAAAAATTAATTTTCAAAAGATTAAAACTGAAAAACTCATAAAAACATTAAAGGTTCCGGAGTTCACATTAATATTTTAGAAGGTTTGAAAGGTACTTAAAACATTCGTCAACTCACAGTTATCTGGTAATTAAAGTATTTTGCTAATTATTTTAAGAAAATAAGCACACTAATTAATTTGAGGAAATAAACAACTTAAGACTTAAAGATATTTTCGGGGGCGAAAATATTATAAGCCTAATAATTAAGTAAAAATATTTCAAAGGTCTTTCAGTAAGAAAATGAATAATTATTCATTTTTTTAGGAAAATATAAGAAAATAATTTAAGGGATTATTGTGAATATTTTTAGAAATATACTTTTCAATTTTTAAAAAAGAACGAAAAAAACGAAAGAGAGAAAAACGAAAGTAAAAAGACAAAGAAGAATTGAAAAAACGAAAGAGAGAAAAATGAAAGTAGAAAGATAAAGAAGAATTGAAAGAGAAAAATCAACGAGAGAGAATACTTTATTTTTGAAAACATGAGAGAGAATCAGTTGGAAAAATATAATTAATGTGAGGTAAAGTAGAAGATACACAATATTTTTTAAAATATTGATATTTTAATTATTATTTTTTAATTATAGATATTTTTAATAATTATGTTAGAGTCTTTTATTAGTTTATTAATTTTCACTTTTAGTTATTATTGGATTGTTTACTTAGAACAAGTGGAAGATGGACCCAACGACCAAAGAAAGTTATCTTGTGGTTTTTATGGAAAAAGTTAGAAGAATTATACCCTTTAAGACCTTAATTAACAATATATGTATATATTCCTTTTTATTTACAAAACTAAGTTTTTTTAATCACAAACATGACAACGTATATAATTTTTTTATTTTAAAAGTATATATATATTTTAATATTCGATTTATTTCCTTTTTTGGATGGTTATGTGCTAAATTTATGGGATTGATAATTATTGTTTACCTTTTGGTTTTTCAATCATAATTTTATCGTTTTGTATTGTTTTTTACCAATATCAATTTTCATTTTTTTTATTTTTTGTATATTTAGTATACGATTTAGTTCCTACTTTGGGCGATTATGTGCTAAATTTATGGTATTAATAATTGTTGTTTACTTTTTGACTTTTTAAACACTAATTTATACAGTTTTATTTTATTTTTTGGCTCATATATTGAATTTTTGATTTTTTTTTATATTTTAGTATCAATTATTTCCTATTTTTGGGGTTTATGTGTTAAATTTAAGAAATTGATAATTATTATTTACTTTTGACTTTCCATCCATAATTATACTATTTATTAATTGTAGTCTTCTCTCACCTCTTTGAAATTTTTTCGTACAAATATATAGATTTATTTTAATGTCTAAAATTTATTTACATTATTTTTTGACAATTTTTATGGCATGACTTAGAAAACCATTTGAGCTTAGAAAGTTTAATAAGGTAATTAAAAACGTACATATTATATAGATTTTCGTACAATTTTGGTGTCTTTTTTCTTTTTATAAAAGAACTTTGGTGTCAAAAGTCTTAAATAAAATTTAATATTATGTTATACCTCAATATGTATCATATAATATATTAAATTGTGTAAACTAAATATATGTACCGTATAATATATCCATATTGTATCATCTAAAACACCAAGTCATACCACTATTTAATCATCTAAAATATCAAAATTATACCAATTGTATCATCTAGAATATTAAAAAATTATATCAATACAAATATTATAGCAACATTTGCACCATTTAATAAATTGAACTTGTTGATATTTTCTATCATTATTTTCAGTTTATAACAATAACAAAATTATTATTTTGATAATATTATCTTTTAAAATTAATATTGGTACAAACTTGAGAGCTTGAAATTACCCTTAAAACTATATGACACTATTTATGAATATCATTAAAAATTTTGTCACGACCCAAAACCGAGCCGCGACTGGCACCCACACTTACCCTCCTATGTGAGCGAACCAACCAATCTAAACCTTAACATTTCAATGTAATATCATCATAAAATAATGCGGAAGACTTAAACTCATTAATAAAAACCAATTCAATAACTATTATTTCTCAAAATCTGGAAGTCATCATCACAAGAAAATCTATGATCAAATTACTAAATCTAAGAGTTTCTAAGAAGCTAAAAATACATAATACATAAAAGCTAGTCCATGCCGGAACTTCAAGGCATCAAGACATGAAGAGGAAGATCCAGTCCAAGCTAGAAGCATTAGCTCACCCTGATATCCGGAGTACTGAAGACTGGCTAGAGTTACTGTTGAGTCGAAGATGACGGCACGGTTGCTGCACTCCACAAATAAACAAGAAGAAAACATAAAAGTAGGGGTCAGTACAAAACACGGGTACTGAGTAGATATCATCGGCCAACTCAAAATAGAAATCAATATATACCAAGTAATATCATAAAATCAACTATGATACTCAACATGTACCAACAGCAAGTACTATATCATTAACAATTACCGTCAAGTTCA